CCGCGCGGTGGGGCCACGGGGAGCCGGGGACCCAGCGCCGTGAGGCCGACACAGACGCTGAGGGGCCCGCGGCCACGCTGTACCTGTGTGATGATGGCGTCCAAGCCGTTGGCTCCCCAGGCGTAGTCCATCGGGTTGGAGTGCAGGACACCCCTGGGGGTGGAGAGGGCAGTTCGAGCGGCCGAGGGGTCGGTGGGGCAGGGCGGGGTACCCCCTACTCACCAGGGGCCCAGGCCCAGGCTGGGGATGGCCGCTGGGGTGATGATGCCATTGACCAGCTGCTGGATGATCCTGCGGCAGAGCGGGTGGTCAGGGCAGCCCCGCATGCAAGCGGAGCCAGGCTGGAAGGCCCCCCACCCAGGCTCAGAGGATGCATCGGGGCACTGGACCCTGCTCCGGGGCCATGGACTCAAGCCCCCAGGTGCAGGAGGCAGCAGGACCTGCCCTGTCTGGGAACAAGGCCACCCACCAGGTGGTAGACCCCGGAAATGCACCATTCCTCGAGCAGGGCCCGCCGGCCACCCAGGCCCTCACCCCTCCAGCGTGGGGACGCCCTCGTGCCGGCTGGGCGCCCGTGAGGCGGGCCCGGGGCTGCCGGGCGCCATAGCGGTGTCGTGAGGGGTGCTCTCTCTCCCGCCGGCTCTCGGGGTCCCTGCTGTCATCCGCCTGCGCCCCAGGAGGGAATGTGGGGATCTCAAAGCTGTCGTCAAAGATGCCGAAAGCAAACTGTCCGTAGCCCTGTGGCAGCGTGAGCAGGGGCTGGTCCACGTTCTGGGGAGAGGGGGTGGGTGTGAGCACAGGCAGGGTGAGGTGGCCTGGCCCGGGCACCCTGGTCTGCTCCAGGGCTGGGCTGGGGTGGGGTGGCTGCCTCGCCCCTGGGAGAGGACAGAGGACGACCCAGGCTGCTGCAGGTGCTGGGAAGAATCGGGGTGGGCCTGCTGGGCCGGGGCGTGGGGACAGCAAGCCCCAGGGCCCACGCATCACCTGCAGCAGCGCGAGGGTCCTGTCTGTGGGGTGGGGGCAGCTCACCTCCAGCGGCTGCCGGCCCTGGTCCGTGGGCGCAGTAGAGGGGGTAGGGTCCTCTGTGTGCCTGTGGGGACAGCAGAAGCTGGCACCCACCCGGGCCTTCTGGTGCCGCACACCGGGGAGCACCACCCATGCGGAACCTCCCAGGCCCCGGCCCGTGGCCCTGCTCCGGCACTTCCATGCACAGACCGGGCAGAGTGCCACAGCCACTCCCGGTCCCTGGTGCTCTGAAGCGGGGACCAGGTGTGAAACCAAGGCTCTGGTGAGGAGTCCATGCCAGGGACACAGCCAGGCCCAGAAACTGCTTCTCGGGCGGCCGCCCAGAGCCTGGAGGCCTGCTGGTGTGCTCGGCGCCATTACCTGGTCTCTGCCGGGAGCTCCTCGATGAAGCCCGACTCGCATCGTGGGCAGATGTAGTCCTGTGTGGGGCGGGGACAGGGTCACTGCAGCCCCGGCCACCTGAGCCCCGGCCGAGCGGAGGGGGGCTCCCTGTGCCTGGGGGACCAGCTGGCCCAGCAGGCACAGGCCTGTGGCTCTGAGGGCTGGGCAGGCTGCGGGGAGGCGTCCACACTGTCACGGGCCCCTCCAGCCAGTGAGCACTTGACGGCGATGACCCCGACCTCACGTGTCCCCGTGGCCTCAGCCCAGTGGCATTCTGGGACATCCTGGCAGGCCCTGCAGGAGTGGCCACCTGCTCTGGCTCAGATCCCCTGGGACACTGCGTGCTGTCCCGAAGGGCGAGGACCCAGCCGGAACAGCAGGGGCGTGCGCCTGGACCCTCATGCATGGTTCCACCAGGAGCAGCCGCCTTGGCCAGGCGAGAGCCGCCTCCAGGGAAGGTGGCAGGCGTGCAGGAGCAGGTGCGCGGCCCGTGGGGAAGACGGCCTCTGGCCAGCCCCGTGCTATGTGGGGCAGGACCCCCAGGACCCCCAGGCCTGGAAAGGGCATTGGTCTTGCTGCTGACAGGTTTGTGGCATCACGGGGGTGCTTTCTCTCTCTCTCTGTCTCTGTCTCTCTGCGGTGAGTGCACGCACCGTACTGTAGATGAGAGCTGTGCATTCCTATTGGCTGGCTGTGGGGCAGGAGATGAGCTCGGTACCTGGCTGAGTAGGGGCGTGGGGCACAGGGCACTGGGCCCTCACAGGTAGGTCTGAGTCCCTGGTCCTGCGGAGTCGGCTGTCGGACTGGGAGCCCAGTCGGGCTCGCGGGACCCTGGCTGACCTTCCGGCGCCCACCTGGAGGCGGGCATGTGGGCAGGTGCACATTGGCAAGAAGGGCCTGTGTGAGAGGCCGCTTCGCCCAGGAGCCCGTCGGCCTCGCCAGCCTCCACCCGCCCTGGGCAGCCTGAGCCCACACGCGCACAGGACCCAGACAGGTGCCACCATTCGTGGCTGTGCAGTCGTGGGTACGTGGCCCTCCTGGGACACACCACCGGAACCCACTCCCAGCTGGCCACGCTGGCACAGACACACCCCGGCTTGCACTGTCTGGCCGGCTATCCCCCGTCCCCACCTGGCCTCAGCCTCGGTCTTCCCAAGGGCTCTGCACTCTGGGAGTGGCTGTGACCATGGGGACCTGGACACCAGGGCATGGGGCAGGTGGCGGGCTCTCTCCTCCGAGGCACGGGTGCAGCGCAGGGGGAGTCTGTCTCCCCATGGGCCCGGGACCCTGGCCACCTCCGCAGCTGTGCAGGAACGGGCACGGCGCCACCTCCCGAGCCCTGACCACCTTCCTGGTCTCCCCAGCTGCTGCCACGCCCAGTGCCCGTGCACCGGGGCACCAGCCACATGGATGCAGTGACCACGGCCCCAGCACACGCCACAAGCCTGCAGCCAGTGGAGCCCATGGGTGCTCCAACCCGGGGTGCCCATCTCAGCCCCTTCCACA